AACAAAATTTGGCTAGGGGCAATAGGGGTTGCTGAGGTACGTGACCTTGTGTGGTGGGTGGGTGGATGGGAGCGCATTCGTCAGAAGCTCGCATTGAACTGAGGCTCAAGAGTGACTAAGGGATTTAGAAGAAAGTATACATGGACAGTGAAAGTGTGGGGAATATTTCTCGACTAATGGCGTTGACTGAGAGAGTGGGGAAAAAGAGCTAGAAGGTCGGCAAGTCCGCGGCTTGCCAGTGTGTCTCCTTATTAGTAATTCAACTTGGATGGACATTAGGCCGAACGAGGAGCGTAGTACGTGCAGAGCACTTGAAACGACAAGAACAGCTGGAAGAGAACTGCGCGAGCACCTTCTTGTAATCAAGGAAAATTTTAAGGGTTCGTTTTTTTTTCTTGTTTAGCTCAACCTTAACTAAAACCAGCATATAGTGAAGCCATATAGTGAAGCATATAGTGATGTTAGTTGTACTTCTTAAAGCACATTGTAGTACTTAGTTGTAGTAGTTGGGATATAGATGTGAAGTATGTAAAGTGGATGAAATGACAACTCTCTCTCGGCAGGGATCGAACTTACGACCTTCGGACATTCCATTTTACGTGGCACACAGCATGGCTGAACTTCAGCATTGGAAGAAGAAAAAAAATGAAGCACGGCACTTGCAGGTCACCGCTCCGTTAGCAAGGGCAAGCTGGTAGCATTCATCCTTCCATCTTTCCAGGTTTTATTATTAGTTCTTGCAGGTCAAGATTAACCTTTGAACCATTCTAGCATAAAGTGTTAAATATGGCTCACACTTATATCGCAGGACAACGAGCTAACAGAAGAAGCACCTTTAAAAACATCGCCTATATTACTATTTCAGCAGTGGCTGGCCGCGCGCTCCTCCAGGCTGTGAAGCCCGAGTGCAACATAGTTATCGTTTGGAACGCGAGCCGCGAGAACCAGTGAGCGTATCCGGTGTCGAGATTACGCCGCCCCCGGAAGGGCGCGCTCTTCAACGTCCTGATGGTAATAAGATAAGCATGAAACAGCGGTCTATAACTACAGTTCAAGGGGTCAGACTAAAAGGGGATGAGACAATTGAATAATAAAAACAATGATGACCGAAAACAATGATGACCGAATAATAAAAACAATGATGACCGAAAACATGGTCAAAATTTCCGGAGCCCTCCACTACGGCGTCTCTCATAATCATATGGTGGTTTTGGGACGTTAAACCCCACGTATAAATCAATCAGTCATGAGGATGGACCAATTAGTTCAGTGGCTCCACTGGACAACGTGATTGAGAAAGGGGAGAGAAAAGGGGTTCCTAATAGCACATCAACAGGCCCTGATGGCATCCCAATCATGCTAATAACGAATCTAGGACCAAACTCTAAGCAAACTTTAAGAGAGGCAGCGAGCAAAGCAATAGTGGATGGTGAAGCTCCCAATGGGTGGAAGCTAAGAAGGAGGAGCATGATCTATAAAGGAAAGAGGGACAAAGCCTATATAAACCACTGCCGTCCAATAACAGTGGCATCACTAGTTTGCAGGCTGGTTGAAGACTACAGACATGGGTGGTGAATGAGGAGGTGCTGGGAGAACTACAAAATGGGTTCCCTAAACGAAGGAGGTCGGAGGACAATCTGTTTTCATTGATGCAGTGTATTGAAATAGCTGAAAAAGAACACAGGCCCCTGTGGCTGGCATTCCTAGATATCAAGGGAGCTTACGATAGTGCGATTCAAGAAGACTTGTGGGGAATACTGGACAACTAGATGTGGAAGATGGAATAACTAATCTTCTAAAGGATATCTATAAAAGTAACAAGGTAGTTATCAAATGGGAAGAACAGGTATTTGAACCTATAGAGATACAACGCGGGCTTCGACAGGATGTGCCTTGCCACCTTTGTTATTTATGGTGTATCTCCAGGGACTAGAAACCAAATTAGAGGAAGGTCGACACGGCTTCAGCCTCTCTTTCGCCAAGCAAGGAAAACTGATTGAACAGTCATTACCAGCATTGATGTATGCAGATGATATAGTATTAATAGCCGACAACAAGGAAGATCTGCAGGGATTGATAGACATCTGTGGTAATGAGGGAAATAGCTTAAATTTGAAGTTCAGCAGGGAAAAATCGGCAATCATGATTTTTAATGATAACAAAGGCAGTGAGCATAAGATACAGGAAGTCACGCTAGAAATAGTGGATAAATACAAATATTAAGGCGTATGGGTAAATAACGGGGCTGATTATCTAAAGGAGCACGAAATATACGTAATGACTGAGGGCACCAGGAATGCAGCTGTAATGAAAAATAGGGCACTGTGGAAGTACAATCTGTATGACGTTGTGCGAGAGATTTCGAAAGGTGTCATGGTCCCGGGTTTGACGTTCAGCAATGTGGTCTTGTGCATGAAATCAGAAGTTCAAGCAAGATTGGAAATTAAACAACGTGACATAGGAAGACTTGCTTTGGGAGCACACGGGAATACCCCAAATCAGGGGGTACAGGTGACGTGGGATGGACATTGTTTGAGTGCAGGGAAGCTAGCAGCGAGATATAATTCGAGGAGCGATTGAGAAAAATGGAAGAGGAGTGTTGGGCTACTTTTTCAGCTACTTGTGCATGAATAATGTTGATACAAAATGGAGGAAGCGAACTCGAAAACTGTCAAGCAAGCATTTAGACAACAGCAGAATACCAAGCCAAAAGGAAACATCGGTTAAGAAGAAGGTGAAGGAAACAAAGAGGGACACCTGGAAGATGGGAATGCTTACGAAATAATCACTGGAGACCTACTAAACATTTAAGCAGGGAATTGCAAGGGAAAATATCTGCGATAATTCTCGGGGTAGTTCTCTGCTTTTCGAGGCTAGAACGGGAGTATTGCGGACCAAGACGTACCGAGCAAAATACGAAGGCACGGGCACGGTATGTAGTGCGTGTGGAGAAGAGGAGGAAAAGGCTGAACATTTGATAATGTTCTGTAAAAGGCTCCGCCCTATAGTCGAAGATAATGGCGCCGAATTTTACAAAGCATTGGCGTTTAGGGACAGTGAAGGCAAAATAGACTTCAAACGGAAAGAAATAACAGGAGGAGGCTAACTGATTGGTGGCTACAATCCAAGCACGAGTTAAATTCAATCCTTAAACACAGTGATAGTACTTAACTTTACAGCTAGGTGGCGTGAGCCACCACCCTATCTAAAGGGCATAGTCGGATACATCCATCCATCCATCCATGGGACGCGGATGCGGTCATCCGTGCTACCATAAGGTTTCCTAAAATTAACTGGAGGGGACTGCGATGCTGCGGCCGTTCAGCCACCATCGGAATGGTGGGAAGTATGCGAGTTTGCCGACTCTTCGTACTTGCGGGCTTGGAATGCACTCATGGCTTTGCTTGTTGCTGTGTTTTGGCTTTGTCTCGAATAATAGACCGTTGTGCACTTCGTTACTCGATTTGAATCGATCAGCCTAATAAGGCTGAGATGCTGGAGCGAAACAGTGGAACGTTTGTCGATCGTCGTCTGGTGACAAAACAGTTCGAAGCCACGCGAAGCCAAACGAAGCCAAAAATACGAAGATAAAACACTATAGTGCTAGTGTTCCCTCCAAGGTTTCCTCTATGGTGATGACCATGGTAATGAAACGCGGACACGGCCATCCATACATACAGCTTTCTCTGCTGGCAACAAGAACAAAAAAGAGGAAAATGGGAATGTATTGAACTGTTAATAGTCGTCATTATTGCTCCCTTTTATAGGATTGAGTTATTAGTAAACATATGTCAAAATGATATATATATATATATATATATATATATATATATATATATATATATATTATGACCCTGCTCATAACTTATTTATCATACATTGTTTATACCAGTCTACATAGGCAATAATACTTACAATTATCTATTTTCTTATTCTGTTATTGGTTATAGGTTTTCTTATTTTTGTGATTCCTTCAATAATAATATCGTGCTTATGCGATAGTGGGCTCTAACGTAGCCTACTTTCCAATGTTCTCTTTCCTTTACATGAATTAAAAATGGCACGTTGATTGAAGTGCGTACGTCTATAGATATGACTGATAAACCGTCTAAATGATTTATCTAAAACGTTCTGATTTATCACGGCCATTAGAGCTGTGTATTTCGATCATATACGCAGGTGTCAAGCGTTGTCACGTCTCGCACCCGAGGTTGCAATTCAGTTTTAAACTATGGGACCGTTCTCATATTGCACGTGTCGAACGAGTAATAAGTAACAGTAGCAATAATTAGCAGTCACGTAAACTGATTGTGATTCACAGCGGTGGGTCCAAGTGTGCTATCTTTCCGACATTATACGGCTGATTATACAGCTGCTACTGATAATCGACCATGCACTGCTGCCTGTTCTTTCTTCTTTTTTTTTTCTGCGTGATCTTTCGCTGGTGCTTCTGGCAAGCGTCGTAATGGGAAGCTCAGGATATCTTTTTCTTTATCCCTTGGGACTTCATGAACACCTGAAGAACGGGGCATCATTCAAAATGTGGCCGAGCCTGCTGTTACTCGAACCAAAGACCTTCCGAAGAACAGCGGGACACGATGCACGTATGTCAAGGTGACACGTTTACTAAAGACACCAAGTATGCATTTACTATAAGGAATAACTCTACCGCGATTCGCTACCTTAGGTGATTGGGTAAATTAGTCAATCGAGATGAATTAACTCGGGCCAAATCTGGATTGACCGTAGTTTTATTCCGTAGTTTTATTCCGTAGTTTCGTTTTATTCCGTAGTTTTATTCCGTAGTTACCGTAGTTTTATTCTAGGTGGTCCTGGCGTCCACGAAAGCTGGTCATTGCGCAAATTAATGTCAGTTAGCTGTCGCTGCGTTGCCTGCTCTCAGACACTTTTAAGCAGTCATGCTCATAACGAACACGGCACTAATTCACCAAGTTCCGCGTTACCACGAGTTAAGGGTCGTCACAGATATATACACTTACGTTCCTTGACTCGCCAGTACCACAGCTGCAAGGGCGAATACCACAGTCCTCCCGAACCACGGGTTACCACCGATGGTCCTACCACAAAGTCTCCGACTTGTAACGTCTCTGTCGAAGCTGCCCACACCACCACTTTCACTTTTCAGCCGTCGTCCGCCAACTGTGTCGTCGTCCCGTAGGCGAACCCACACCGAACCAGCACAACCTTCAAGTTCCATGGCGTCCCGTTTCGTCTGGCGACGAAAATTCAGGAGCCAACAGGTGGGATCCGTCGCGTTCTTCCTTTTTTTTCGGGGCGCAAACGCTGGCGAGACGCTCGCTTGGCCGTAAACAAGGCGATGTATCCACGGTTTCGTCGATCGCTTCCTCGATCGAATTCAAGGCGCGCAGCGTCCGAAGGTTTTTCTGGTCGTCACCAGACGCCCGTGTTGTTGTAGCCGCTCACGTAGGTTGCGGTGGCCCGGCATTTATATCGACGGCGTCTTTCGAGCGAGGAAAATCGAGTAGCGGCGGACGCACGCGAGACTTTTTGCGGCGGTTAGTTTCATCTCCCCCCGGGCAACGCGAGGAACATGTCGAGAGGCGCGCGCGCCGGCATCGACGGTAACTTGAGGAGCCACGACACACGATGATGACTATACGCCGACCGATGGCAGCGGTCTGCGGCGGCTGGAATCTCATTTAGCAGCGGCAAGAGCGCATACGGGAAAGAGTTTTTTTTTTTTTTTTTTCGACGATAGAGAGGAAGTGGAGAGGAAGAGTACGTTCGTGGGTTGAGGAGGGAGAGAGAAGGGGAAAGGACCGAATGTCGTCCGACCAGTTCCCCCCCCCCCTCCTTTATTTTTTCTTTGGGGTGTGTTTTACGCCACCGACTCTGTACGATTCACCTGTGTTCTGGGGATTTCGATGTTGTAGTTGCCCCGGCGTCGTCTGCTTCGTTTTGTCTGTCTGCTACGGGGCGCTGCTTCTTCTTCTTCCTCCACATCGTCTGTCGGACGATTCTTCTTGGTTTGACTCGTTTCTGGTTGATCTTGCTTGATCGCTCTATCACTACGACATCGTATTGAAAAACCTAAGAATAACGTTACAGAATAGGAATACTAGTTCTTTTCACTCTCTTCTTCCATTTTCATCTTCTTCATTGTTACGAGCCTTTTACGATCTTTCGTGACCAATACTGATCGTCTTGAACCTGATCATCCGTTTGTCCCGTGTTCGCCTAATGTTATTGTTAATGACTATGTTGTTTCCTGGCTCGGCATTCTATCATCGAATGAATTCCACTTCCTTGGTACCAGTTACAGGTGCGTCCATGCGTCCGTGCGTGAGTGAGTGAGTGAGTGTGCTGTGTGTGCGCTCGTTTGTGTCGTATCGTGTGTTTCTGTGTGTGTTTGTGTGTTCCAGCTTTTTTCGTCTACTTTACCGACCGTAAACTGCGTTGCCACGAAATCCGGAAACATTGAACTATTCTATATACAAAACGGAACGCTAGGGACAAGACACCGAAGCTGCCATTTAAGGCGAATATCCACCGACCTCTCTTTCTCTCTCTCTCTCCCACTTTCCGTGCACGCATTTCATTCCGTTTACTCCTACTAAAAGAAACCCGATAGAAGCAGGTGTAAACGGCTTCTCCGCAAAAAGGGATGGGCGCGCACCCTAAAGCGGAAAGAGTCCACCCGCTTTGTCGTCTTCCGGTTTACGAACTGGTTCCGCTTGTTTCTCTCAAATACGACTACGTTTCCGTTTGTCAGTTTCGCTTCCGATTTCCTTCGGCGTTCAATTCTTCCCACGCCCCGAAGCACGCTGTTGGTGGCTACACTGACGCCCGATTTTAATATGGGACGTCCTGCAGAATGAAAATAAGTCATAAGTTTATATTTGGCTTACGACACCTTCAATACAGCGTTCTCCGCGGTGCAGGTGTCACGCCATTTATTCTGCTTGCGCGCGTGGGAAACTGCAGCTGGTTAAGCGAGTGAAATTAGCAATCCTTCGCCAGTGTTTGGTTGCGTTCAGTGGGTAAATTGATTGATCGATTAATTGATTGATTGATTGATTGATTGATTGAAAATTATCAATCATTCGCCAGTCGTTGGTTCGTTCAGTGGGTAAATTGATTGATTGGTTGGTTGATTGATTGATTGATTGATTGATTGATTGATTGATTGATTGATTGATTGATTGACCTACTCAGTGGAGTGTGTATTTGTGCGTGTGTTCGTATTTGAACCATTGGGAATACATCGGTCTGAGATTAATGAAACCGAACAGCCCAATGCATTCTTTTTTTTTCTTTTGTGAGATTATTTATAGATACACACAGTCTGGGTTGAAACCAGCTAAGGTCCACCCCTCATACATAGGCGCAGGAGCAGCGACAGAAGCAATACAAATAGCAATGACTATAATAAAGAATAAAATAAAGAAAGCAAGAAATAGCAAAACAATCGGAAAGAACACTACTAATATAGCTCGAAAACACAGAGTATGTCACGAGCAGGCTGCATAAATTTCAACAACCCAACTTTTGGTATCACCGTTTTGGCACTCGTATCAAGACGCTATGGGAGATATTTCAGATAACACTTCTAAAGTTCTCAGACTTTGGGTTTCCGACAGAAATGAGAAAACTTCGTAAGTAAACTATCATGGCGTCATGAACGCGAGAAGCACGCTACTATGATGCTTTACTCACTAGTACTTTATTAGATGAAAGGCCCCTTTTACGGTCAAGCTCAGTCCCGCGTGCGGTGTGACAACCTTTACAGCGCATGCGCGCCCCTTCCCCCTCTCTCCTATGCTCCCCCTCTCTCGCCTTGTAACACCGACGCAGGCAGCGTCTGCTAACGGAATTATTGATTGCAAAAACCGATTGTTCGCGCTGCACAACCGTTCGGTGGCCACCCCTTATGAATGAATGAATGAATGAATGAATGAATGAATGAATGAATGAATGAATGAATGGTCTTTATCGCACTCATATCTTATACAAAATAAGCACAAACTGTATGGTCTCATAGCCAAGGGCTAGTGCGGGTACCATTGAAAGTATACATAAGTGAAACCGTAATAGTTCTAATTAAAAATAAACAGAAGTAAACAATTCAAATTTGGTATACAAGGAGTAATGTTTATCTGCTAACAACAGTCACTTGAATTCGATTGAACATAGAAAAAAAGGGAAAGCACATAACTTGTAGTCAACACAAATATTTGGTGATTAGTGGCGTACAGAACTGAAGAATGATACTTGTAGTTGCAATATCGATAGTAGTTCTCTTATATGGCTTAATATAGAGAACAAGGGTGTTGAAACATCTTTCAAAGAAAACACTAAACACATAAAGGGCAATGTATACACATAATAAAAAAATTACAACCTAAAGTATCAGTCAACTCAAGCAGGCTATGGATCTTGACCTGAAAGGTATAGTGCCGGTGGGAGATTTATCCTGTACGTTGTTGAACAATAAAAATTCGCAGCGTGCGCGTTAACTAGAAGCGAACCGCGGGTCTCTGTGGCCAAGCGGCGTCTTCTGTCTCTCATCGTCCATTGGCAGCGAGCGATTGGGATGTTTTAGTAGGAAACACCGGTTCATCACTGCGTGTTTTTCGCCTCCCCAGGTTTGTCTCCTGCTCAACGACGCCGCCGCCAGTGTAAGCGTGAGCGCCCACTGCTTCGCATTTACAAATATGGTTCCCTTCAGCGGGTCATGGTGTAATTTGTTTCAGTTACACCGCTGTACGCATGGCGATCATGAACTGCACGCGATGTGGCGTGCGTGCTTAACTTCACTAAAGTAAACACAAGAAAGAAAGACTTATATGCCGTTTTTTTTTTTTTTTACGGATCACGCCAAACTTATAAGATGTGTCTCACCTGACTCTTGTATGATTTGCGCCGTCAATTTTGTTAGCATTGCTCGTCACCTAACTAAGCGGTCAAGTTCATGTTACACAGGAATTTATGACTTTACATTCTGTTTCCAATTTAGATACTAATAAAATGTCCTTGCTTTTACGGAACTGAAACTCTCTATATAATTCTCTTACCGTTTTCTTTTTCCTAGAAAGGTGTTATAGCACCCAATGGCTACCCTTTGTTCACTAACAGTTGGGTATTTATGTTTATTTATTTATTTATTTATTTATTTATTTATTTCAATAACTGCACGCCCGGTGGGCATTATTGTAGAGGGGAGAAAACAAATAAAGGAATGCAATACAGGTAGTGTAATACAACATCAAGAGGAACAGCGTCAAGATCAACAATACCGCAAGTATGAAAGACAGCATATCGTATCTACACTCCGAACATAACACAATACTTCATAATTAGACTCAAGTCATGATTAGTATATTTTCACAATAATATAAAGGTTAAGAAAAAAATTACGGATAGATAGAGAAGCGTTGAGTATGCATTAGGGTCGTGCGATTCCCATCGAAACAAGATTTCAGCAAGAGCATTGTCAAATGGATTGGTTAGCGACTAGAAAACTTAATCCAGTAGAACATTCCAATCATGGCATGTTCTAGAAAAAAAGGAAAAAAAAACGGATGCTTAAATACGTTGATATGACAACGATATTTTCTTAACTTAAAAAAATATATTTTCTAACTTTCTGACACTTTTTATTGAGTTTTGTTTCGTTCGCTCTGATTCCTTGTTGAATGAGATACTTTTATGATTTGCATTTTCAGTCAGCTCTTTCTCGTTCTTTTACTGTGTGCTGTTTATTGTTGGTTTCTTTTGTAACTTATGCAACTCCCCAATGTTAAGCTTACTAAAGAGTGCTAAGATAAATAAATAAATAAATAAATAAATAAATAAATAAATAAATCCAGACGGGCTGACCTGTAGAGTGGGACCAAGGATACGTGTTTACTTCCTTAGCGCTTTTGCTCCTTAAAACATTTTGCGAAACAGTTTTAGATGCACGTATTTCCATCTATCTTGCAGATATGGTCATTCAAGATCAGCTCTAATGCTTAAGGAGCTTATCGTAACGTCCTACTTCAGGAAGATAAATCAGGCTTCACGCTTTTAAATGCGATCTAACTGGGAAATGATGATCATTGTACTTGTGTTCCAAGGGGAGCATCCGTACTATAGTGCGCACCTTTGACAGGTAACGAGTTTCCTTCAACTTGCAGAAATTTTCTTAGCGTTTTGCTTTAGTAAGTTCAGGACTCGACCATCCTTAGCTGTCGCACAACAGCGTAAAAAACACTCAGCGGACGGAACACAAGAAGAACAAGAAGATGAGCCTGGAAACATAATAACCAGATTTCGATGTCGTGTCCCCCCGTTAAATTTCTATTCACATAGGGCTGGCCTGGCGATATCACCGCTATGCAACTTTTGTTCAGAATCAGAAACAATAGAGCACTATTTTTTTATCATGTCGCCGATACAAATTACCCAGAAAAGCACTCTTAGTCCTCCCATTCGCTAGTCCGGGGCAGAACTTCACAATAGAAAATATACTTTCCTTCGGTGCATCCGATATGGGCTTCAGCCACGAGAACGTTTTCTGTGCAGTTTGCAAGTACCTTAATGAAAGTAAAATAATTAAGCTTTTAATTGTGTGATTAATATTCCTGCAAAAATATTTCATCTTAAACAGGAGCTTTGTTTAA